CCCCCCCCCCCCCCCAATAACACGTTCAAATGCTTTGTTGAGTCTTGTCTTTAACTAAGTCTTAAGTGGCTGCAATTACATCACCTTCCCGGAGGAGACCATTTCACAACCTGTACTTTGTAGGATTTTTTGATACTCTGAATCCATTTACCTTGTTTTTCAACCACTCCTGTTCTCCATTGTGTGGTGAATTCTGGAGAACTGGCTCTACTGCACTGTCTTACCAGGAAGCAAGAAGTTACAGCGTTGGGAGAGGCAGAGAATATCAACAGACTCCATGGCTATCCTAGCCTTTCTATTCCTCCTCCTGGGAGAAAGTAGGAGAAGGCTTAGCTCTTTGCATTCAGTCTATTTCCCTCTGGTGCCTCTTTGGTGATAAAGAACAAGAAGAATTATGTCTAACTCATGCTTGCATTTTTACCCACTGCTCTCAAAGCCCCTTACTAAAGAGAGGAGCAGCATGTCCTCCATTTAGAGATTGACAAGCCAAGGTACTGAAAGACAAACTAATCTTGTCCCAGGTCTTACACAGGTCGGTGGCAGAGCTGCAAGCAGAACTCAGGTCTGATCTACTGCTCTCTGTTATAACAAATTGCTCTTTAAAAGGAAGGAGGAAATAGCAGAAAGGGTCTGCTTGAGGCCAGGGCTAAACATGTCTCATAAATCAAAGACCTCCTTTCCCAGTGCTTACAGAAAATTGAGAGCGTCTTCCAGTAAGTACCTTCTGTATAAAATGAGCTGATTGTCAGTAAGGAGTCCCCAGGGAAGCCTACACCAATTGTACTGCTGTTGCTCTTCAGAAAGCTCCTTGGTTTGCCTCAAAGACCCCTTGTACCTTCTAACTGGGTTATAATCTCTTCTGGCTGGCCCTACCGGGGATTTAATTCTGGTGCTGACTTTGGGTCTGGTAATTAACTGAATTCATAAGAAATGGAATCAATTTAGTTCTAGGTGATTTGTTTTAAGTCTAATTAAGAGGTGTCATCTGAGTAGAACACTGTCATAGTGCAATGATTTCCTGCTGCTACTTAAATGTCGAGACAAAGTTGAAACTTATTTTCCAAAGCAGGAGATGTTGATTTTGTGACACTGCCCTATTAAAGTGACTTTATTCCTGCTGCACCAAATGATAGATATCAATTGCCTGATGTAGGTACAGGAGGGTACAAGCTGCTCCTGAGATTATTAATATTTCTGTTGCAGTGGGGCAGGCTTAGAGCAATGGGGTGTCTTAACATTTTCATTCTGTAAATCACATCATGTCAGAGACCGAGGGAGAACAAGGACCACAGCATGGCCCTCTCATCTCTCTGGCTTCTTTTGCTGCTTCGTTTCCTCATAAACCCAGCCAGAATGCAGTAGCCCAGAAGCCAGATGGACGTGGCTTGGTCCTTATCTTCATAAAGTCAGTGTTATGGGTAGAGGAAAGGGGTCTTGTGGGTGACATCTTTTATTGGACCCACTGCATGGTTGGGATAAATTTAGACAAGCTTTTAGGTACACTTCTGCAGGTTTCTGGGAGAGAAGCAGGCACAGCAGAGCTAAACAGCAAATGGAACAAGGGCTGGAACTGATATGGTTTGTGAATTTCAAGTACAACAAAGATAAACTAACCCCTTGTTGATAAAAGGAAAAGAATAAAAACACAGATTCACCATCCAGCAGAACGTAGATACATTGCAAGGTTGGGTTCCTTACCTTCTCCCTCCCACTGTGAATGAGGTTTTCAAAGTAATCAGGACCATACAGAGCCACATCAAGCAGCTATGTGGGACCCCTGAGGTGCTACAGCTGTTTGCAGCTGGTTTTATTTCAAAGGGTGCTGCTTTTCTGACCAGCTGCTGAGTTCCAGTTCAGTAGAGATGTGGTGGGCTTTGAAGTAAAAGCCACAACAAAGAGCCTTTAATTTGGCAACCTGCTGTGAGCCACCTGGATAGGAATGATCCAGTTCTGCTATAATTACTCACCATACCATGGAGACTGAGGAGAGGGAGGAACCCGCCATTTTACATGTCTGCACAGCTGTATGAAACTATTTTGAGAAGTATATGCACAAAGAAATGTAAACCCAGTACATGTTAAATACCTGCAGAAGTCAAATGACTTCAAAGGGGATTCTAGTGCAGATGTATACTTACATAATACGGGTTATCTGGATTAAGTATTTGATCAGATTCGTGGCTACTGGGCTCAGTGTCATTAGACTGGCGGTCAGGCTCTTGCAGTGGCTGCCTGGTGGGTGGCCTGGTGCTTGTTTCTTTTGTAGTGGCTTCAATTTGATTTATGTCAAAATTTGCTTGACGTATTTTTCTCTCAATTTCTCTCTTCTCCCTTTGGTTATCTGCAGAAGAAGTCACTGATTTAAATGTGTTCTTGCACTAGTTCAAGGAAAACATGTTGGATTGTCCATTCACAAAAATGGGATTGTAACTGCAAAGATAGGTAGGCTCCAGATGGGAGCTATGTACAGACTGTGTAATTCCATATGTTTCAAGATTTTTTTTTTCCCCCTTTTTTCCCAAATAAAAAAGGGCAGACTTAGGAAGGGCATTGGACCCACTGAGCTGCTGGCCAGTGACATTCACAGAAATGAATGTTGGAAGAAAGCAGAGCTGGAATGCATCTTGGGATGTCATAAGTCCAGCCACCTGCTCAAGGCAGGATCATCCCAGACCAGTGTTTGTTCAATATGTTCTTAAAAATGTCCAAGGATGCAGATTTCACAGTCTCTGTAGGTAGCCTATACCAATGCTAAACCACATTCTTCCTGAAGTCCAGCCTACATAGTCAGCTCTCAAGCAGAGCAACTGCAACTTTTTGTAATTTCCAAAGCATGGATTTGTGATAGAAAAAGAAATGGCTTGAAGGAGGGCTTGTGAGACCTGAAAAAGTGGCTTAGTTATCTCTCATAGTACTTTTTTGATGATTAGTGCTCATGTGCAAGGCACAGGAAATGTTGGAAAATGTTAATTGAGCAAGTTTTGTTTTGATGGTCATGTAAAAAATATACCAGCAAGTTGCACCCTCCAGATGCTGTAATAACACTCACTCTTTTATCTTTCTACTAAATATTTAATACTAAACTCTGAGAGCATCAAGGAAGAGGCAGTCCTGCTTGTCCTCTGCCACCAGCCCTCTGCAGGAAACCCTTCCAATCCTTCATAGTCCTTTTTTCTCCTCTGGACCAAATAGGTACAGTACTTTTTTTCCCCCTCATCTCCCTGCCCAGTGCCTGAACACCACTCCCTATCTATGTCCTGGGCACCAGTGTAACATTCTCTGCCCAACTCCTCCTAATCTGCTTGCTGTGGCCTCACAATGGTGTTGGTTATGCTTCCTTTGACAATTTTATATGGCCTCTTCTCCCTGCCCACCTCCATATTCTAAGAAATTAGGTGGCCTGAAGGTGAACTTAACTTCATATACATTCTTTGGTACAGCTGTTCTGGAGGGAAGGGAAGAATAGGCCAGAGAGTTTCACCTGGGGAGTCTGGTGTTTCCCATCATGGGTCTCAGCACTAGGCTGCAGAGACTTTGGGAGGCAGGCTGGGGAAAAGGGACACTAGATCCATGACAATACAGATCTCATAGCTATAGGCCCTGGTGGTTTACATTTATTGGAAGGGAGGAAAAAAGGAGTTGGGGCACTCTCTTTAATTTTTTTTACTAATAATACCTTTAGGGTATGTTGGTCGAAGCCAGAAAATAGGAAGATCTCCACACAGCTCTAGGATCTTGGAGCTCAGGAAACTTTTGTCCTTTACAGGCTGGTCCACAGCTACCCAGATAAGGGAATTTTCATCAAATTTAACTGGCATGATTTTGTCTTCCTGTAAGTAAAGAGTATAAAGCCTCTCATCAGGTGTCCTGTATATGTTACCTGTGCATCTTTGTGTCAACAGCCAGGCACCAAACACAGCTTCAGCAGAGACTGATGCCAAATATGCTTCTGAAGATCGTTCTGCCTTGCAAATTACTTGCACAAAGTGGGGCCTTAATTAAATGGACATCAATGGAAAAAACTCCTGGAGTTGAACCACTGAGGCAAACGGCAAAACTAGCCTTCACATTAACGGGGCTAGGGTTTTGTGCCCACTCTCTTTAACAGGGCTCATATTTGGGCCAGAGGATCAGCTGCTTAGCTGATGTAAACTGGTGTAGATCCACTGACATGAGTGGAACTGAGCTGATTTAAACTAAGAACAGTTCAAAATGTTTATGGGTTGTTGGCATCTGTTCATTTTAGGATATTGCTGTAATAGACATAGCCACTCTCCTGAAAGTTAGGGAAGGTTCTGGTTTGGATACAGATACCACTTCCAGTTTAAAGTTAATATGATGGGTCTGATAAAAGGTCTTGTTTAGTAGACCCAATTCAGTTGACCAAGAGCTTGAAGTATAAGTTAACAGCTTTCATTCTGAAGTATGCCCTGCAGGTTTTCAGTTTGTAGCTTCAGAATAATATGACTGATTCTTTAAATGTTTTGTTCAAAGTTTTATTTTACAAACAAAATGTAGCTATTTATTAACAGCAGTGAAACTTCTTTAAAAAGCCTCTTGTGCATCATGAAAACCAGTATGATTTCAAAGTTAAACTTCTGAATTGCCTCTGTATGTCACTAAGATTTGGTAGATAATCCACTAGGATCAATTAATTTTGCCAAGTTGTTCCCTTAATATATTTACTTACTTTTATAGTAGGTCTCATGTAATCTAAATTTGCTATCCAGTTTTTGTAGCAAGAGCAGCATGTTATTTATATTTTCCCATTTGAGTTTTTCCCAACATCCCCACCATAAAAACAAAAAACCTCCAAACTTAACTGGAGCTAGATAAGAAAAATAATCTAGTTGTTGATCTGCAAAAAAATTTTCCCCAACCCTGAGAGTAAATGGACTTCTGATATCTATACATTTATTTAATGAACCAGTTTATGCTCAATATAGGTCATAATTAGATATGTATTGGAACAAAAGACTTATATGTATTTAACTGTAGATGCCAAAAAATGACTAATGTAACAATTGAGGTCACATTTATAATCAGGTAAGTCAGGCAATGAAGAATTCTCAATGTTTCAATGTAGCATCAAGTTGGCAAATCATCTAGTCTCTGATGTATGCATTCCAGGGCAATATATAGTAAGTAGCATGGTAAGAAAAAAATTGCATGCAAAAATCAGGATAGCAAACACTTCTGCAAGCCTGGAGGAACATATGTTTTATCAGTATAACATTGCATAATGGCAACTTACTTCTATTTTCAATAGAAAGACATTGCCTTTACTTAATAATGTTAAGCAATCCCAATTAGGCAAGGGAGACCACAGCTCCTTAAAATAATGGAAGGGGGTTGATCCAACCCCCAGTGAATTCAATGGAAAGTCTGGCATTCCTTCAAAAGGATTTAGTTCTGACCTTTGGTGCTCTCCCCATTAGTTTTAGAGAGCTGCTTGCTCCCTCTCATTAAGTAAATGCATATTAATTACAGCAGCACAGAGTACAGTAAATTGTCATTCAGACTACCTTCACTGCACAATTTATGGGGGGTTTTTTGTTTGTTTTTTTTTTAACACCATAATTTTCTCCCATCTTGGTGTCAAAGCACAGGGTGAGGAAGGGGGAGATGGTTTTGACATTTACAACCTCCCTCAGGCAAATCATCCTGAGAACCTCAGCAGTTCTTTTTCTACCTTCCCAGCTTTTTATTCCTACCAGAGGAATAAAAGCTGCAGCCTCTTAGGTTGGGCAGAGAGGACATATATTGCGGTGTCACGAAGCAGAGAATAGGTTTATCATGCTGTGTTAAAAATCTCGGCAGATGCTGCTGAACTAGCCAAATGAGATTTTTGTCAATCACACAGAATTTTTTTTAAAATTATTTCTTTCTCCCATCTTAAAGCTAATGCACTAGTAGGAGAAAATCAGGGCTCTATCCATGCCACGTTCAAACCACAGCTGCTTCTACTGTAGTCATGCTTGTAGCTCTGGGGCTGGGGAATCAGTATACAGTAATAGGACCTGATGGGGAACAGGCACAGAAGTAATCCTGAGCTGGTCTGTATTCCATTTTGTGCAAAGTGTTTCTGTGCCAGGCAGTCTCCAAGGAGAGATTCTGGGGGCTGCCAGGTAGGTTCGGGCCTCACTGGCAGTGCAGCTTTTAAGCTTTTGGAGCAGTGCCCAATGCAAGGCAGTTGGGTCACTTTATAGGGAGTGCTGAGGCACAAGACAACCATGGCCTTGTGGGGATTCCTCACATCTGTAAAAACTGAGCCCAGAATCTGAGGAACTTAATTCTTTTCCTTCAAAGGTGATCTGTGTGACGAAAGCTTCAGACTTTCCAGCCCCCAGCCTGGGACTGATTTGATTTATGGTGCACTCGCACAAAGTCCTATAGCTACTATAACTGGACGAGGTTTATTCTTGCTGGGACTGGAAATGCAGATTTCATGTTCCCAAAGAGAAGAAAAGAATGGCTTTCTGCTGCGGCAGGGTGGCTTATTCTCTGTTGGAAGCTCTGTGCAAGCTGATGGTGGTATCAGTCAATTATTTTCTGCTTTTACTTTAAACTCTCCAGCCAGTTCTGGCTACTTTGTCTCATTCTTGTCCAACCCCTGACAAGGCTGAGGTTGTAGGTACTGTGTGTTACTGCAGTCCTGTTGCCTTCCCTTATTGGGGCCCTCTGCCACAGTGAAGAGTCTGGAGTAACACAGAGCCAGGGAAGTCAGTGGAACAATGTGAGCAAAGTGCTCAGGGTCTGGTCCCTGGGAAGCTTAATTTTGAAATACCTACAAAAAAAGGCTTTTTGCAAACATGAGGTGCAGACATCCCTGTTTGAGAACTATGGTCACAGCATTTCAGCCCAAAATTTGTAGTCCCTCAGAACAAAATGCTATCTTAAAATCAATGCCCTAGAATCAAATCTGGTCTGGGAAACCCATTTTTAAACTACCAGGTCTAAGGTCAGTTCAGTTTTTCTTTTGCTTTGGACTTTAAGTTTTTTCCCAATGCACCAAGAAGATTCCTTTTTATGCCCTTTTTCAAAGGTCTTGATTAACAGGATCCCTCCCTCTGGTCCAGTCTAGACACAACTCTCCAAAAAGCTCATCCAAACCACTGTCTGGATTGGTTAAAGCAACTAATTCCTCCTTATCAGTTTTTCTCAGAGGCATTTTCTCTTCCCTTCCAGGGCACTTGCTGACCAACCAGATCATTGTATTTAAATGTCCTTTAAAAGTCTTATGGGTTTATTAAGTATCTTAAAAGATTGCTCCCTACCAGCTCAAATGAGAGGCTGTCTTTAGTCATAGTATCCACTTCAGGAACACGAGCTTTAGCTTGTGCTTTAATGTAGCATTTCTCTCCTCCAGCAAAACGGATTCCGGTTATGCCCTACAAAACAGGTATTTCATGGTTACCTCCATTAATGTGTCACCCAATTGCTTACAACAGACCACAGAGAAACTATGTCCAAGCCAAGTGTAAGCAACTTGCTGCATTTTGTGCAATTTCTGTTGAAGCAGACCCAGCGCATAGAGTACAGAGGCGGAATTCCAGTGTTTGTTGTAATATGTGTTTTTATAATTCTAAACAAATGACACACAATTCCTATGTTTCTAACATCTTGGAATTCAAGACTGCTTGGAAAAAAGGTGCGGACTATGTTTTATGCATAGGCTAGTCTTTCTCAAGTCTTCTCCTCTTCCTCAATTCCCCATGACTCTGGTTTTCCCCACACAATAGGTAGATCAAAAACCCCCCGTCCTTATAATCTTAGCATTTTTTTACCGACCCCCACCCCCACCATCTGACATTTTGCTCTATTTTGTTTCATACAGACGGAGCAAAGGAAAGGATCTCTACAATGATTATGTGATCCATGAAAACTGCTCTGCTTGACTATTGGGCAGAAAGATGTGCAGTGTCAATAAGGCTACTTTGGAATGGGCCATTCATGTTTTTGAGATACCTCACCAAGGAGGGAAACCATTTTGCAAAAATGCCATTAGTTATGGTCAATGCATTTCTTAAAACAGATTTTCTTGCCCTTAGCAATTTGTGTGAGCTACTCATCCCAGTGTGATAGCTCTGCTTTGCTTACAGCCCTAGAGTAGCAAATGAACAAGCAAATACACTTGGATGTCAACTTTTCTAAGGGTTACTAATGGGTTTCCTCTGCCACTAACATAAGGTGTATTTCCTCAATAGTCTTTTCAGCTTACATTTCAACTCTTTGGGACTCAAAACTTAAGTTGGCCCTTTTGTTTTCCTGGACCCTGACCCCAGCACTCGGTAAGTGAAAGCAGAGATCATTTACCTCAGTCAGTTAGCCTTGGAAGCCAATTTCTGCCCCACATACTCATCTGTAGACACCCAACCAATTGTAATTGTTCCTGGGTCTCTGTTGAATGTTTGGCTGCACTTACGCAGCAGCTAATAGCTGTCATGAGGGGCCAGGGCTAGAAGAATTCATTGGATCTCCACTGAGATGGCATTTCTGTACAGATGTGGAATAGTGAAGGCACATGACTAGAGGCTCACCACCAACATTATAGTTCAGCTGTCAGTAAGGCTGATGCTATGATCCCAGACTATACTGCCAACAACTGCAGACTGTTTGGGGATTCAAGGTTTTCCCAAACATACATAACTATCCCCATGCATGCACAGAAGGCAGGAAACCACTTCCTCTTCTGTTCCTGGACTTAACAAGTGGGGAAGGGCAAGGCCAGCGGAACCCATATAACTTCCCTCACCAGCTTTCTCTACCTAGTTTTGTTTTAGATGTTGCATTCCTTTGGCTTAAAGCTTAACCTTGCTTCCTCTAAAGTTGATGGGAATTTTTCCACTGACTTCAATGGGGCTCCTTAGGAGATGTTTTCAGGGAACAATGCAATGCTGTATAGAAATGTGTGAAGCAGCTTGGATACTGGAAGCAATATAGTCACAAAGTACAGTGTTTCACCTCAGCTAATTAGCTGTACAGAGAAGCTGGGAATATTGGCTCGGGTGCAGTGCTGCACTAATTCTGCCAGCATATGCATGGAGTCCAATGGTAGAGAATGTCTGATTTGAAAGACCTGAATGATTGTACTTACAATCTGGAAATCATGCACTTCTACAGCCTCTTCACTTCCACTTCCAGTTTTAAAGGTCTCTAGGTTGTTTCCAGTATCTATTTCCATTGATCCTTCTTGTACTTTTCCATTAATACTCATAGTATAATGGACATTATAAACCTGAAATGGAGTAAAGAATATTATTCTTTTGGGGGGGGGGGGG